TTTTTTTTTTTTTTTTTTTTTTTTGCCGTAAAAAATTCTGAGCAACTCAGGCTAGGAAAATACATTGGTCTAAAGCAGACATACAATGGTTAGTTTTTAGCAATGTTGTTATAAAACCAACTCGTTGGTTTCCTTATGGAACCAACACCCAATGATTATGCTCTATGTGGGGCTGTCCCACATGGGCTCCATGTGGGACAACCCCACATGGAGCTGTCTAATTGGGTGTTGGTTCCATAAGGGAACCAACCAGTTGGTCCCACATGGGCTCCTGACAAAAATTGAATTTTTCAGGAGTTAAAAGCAGAGTTACATACATATAATCTGGATGAAAAAGTAAAAATGCGGTTGTTCAGTTTATATTAGGCCATCTCCAACCGAAAAACTCATTCTCAAACTCATTTTGCAGTAACTGTCACATTTTGCAGTAATTCATCTCCAACCGAAAAACTCATTCTCCAATCCAAAACAATATTTCAAAATATTCTCTTTCATATCAACTTTTATAATTTTTCAATACTACCTACATATTTAACAATTTTACAAATTAGACCCATTTGTATTTTACATTCAATTGAAAAAATATATAATAAATTAACTATATATTAAGAATACATGCATAATAAATATGTTTATTGGAATAAATATTTGTTAAATAAGCAAATATTATATACGTTTTTTAATTTCAACTTATATAAATATTTTAAAAGGGATCATATTGTTTGAATTTGATAACATTTCATACAAGTCGATTAATTAATTCAAATTTCGTAATAATATTGTAGATATATTTTTATTAATATTTTAACTTCATAATTTGCTATGTGCAATATATATATATATATATATATATATATAATTTTATATATATTTCATGGGTTTTTCTATTTTTGTATTGACATAAACAAAATAAAAGGATTTAATATGCTTTTGAAAAAAAAACTTCTACACAAGTTGAATTGGTAACAAAATTATAGTCATTTACAGAATTTACTTTATTTTTATAAATAAATAAATAATTAATAACTACTAACTATAATTTAATTATTTGTCTTGATACTTCTAATTTTCAAATAAAAAGGGATTGGATTGTAATTTTAAAACTTGAAACGCATAAAATGAGTTTGAACGCAAATTTGCGTTGAAAGAGAGAGAGAAACCCATAAAACTCATTTTGCGTTCCCATTTTCAGTTCGGTTGGAGAATTTTTACTGCAAAATTTGGGTTTTTGGTATCGGTTGGAGAAGGTCTTAGTGAAAACAAAAATTCTATGGAGCCATCAGATTGTTTTCTTATGGAGCCATCCATCACTTAATATAGTGACACCTGTCTAAATTGTATTTATTGTAGTACACGTGTCAATGCACTATTGGTGATTAAATATGGATTGTTCCATAATCCGAGCCATCTGATGGCTCCATAGTAAAACTGATGAAATTGATATGTGTGGTCAGTGAAAACCTATGTAAAGGAAATCTACATTGGATTTATTATTATTATTATTGTTATTATTATTATTATTATTATTATTATTATTATTATTATTATTATTATTATTATTATTATTATGCTCGAGATTGACTCGATAACATGCTCGAGCCACTCGAGCTCGGCTCGAGTTCGATCAAACTCCAGCTCGACCTGAGCTTTGACTCAAGCACTCGTTGGCAGCTTGCGATGCCTCCGTTTGCAGCCCTAGCTCTAAAGTCTTTGAAAATCACCATATCGTGGTTCAGAATCTTCTAGAGTATTCGACCTCGGACCCTAAAGCCATCCATATCAAAAACCATAAACATTAATTGGTACACTAGCGTTGTAGTTCGCCAACATAGGCTCAACACTCAATGAAAAATCAAAGGCGACGATAACAAGCGATTGGGAGGTTTTTTGACGGGCACCACTAGAATCTCAAACAAGAGTTGAGGGAGCAAACTGAGCTTGCCGATGCGTGGAGCATAGTGGCACGACACAGACTTTGATTGTTTTTCGATTTTTTTGGCAAGATTGTGAAATTTTATATATTGCCGACAATACAAATATTGTTAGATTGCAACATTTACAAATTTCATATTTTATAAGTATTCAATTTTTCCTTCAATATACTTTGCAATTATTTTCTCAATGTTCTCAGTCCATTAACCAACTTCAACATCCATCACTTACTAAAATTGATTGAATTTGAGGCCCATGTAGGGTTTGAATAATAGGGTTGGACTAGACTCAAATCATTTTGGCGGGAGGAATAGGACTATAAGAGAGGCATTGATGGTGGTCTG